GAGACTATATTAAATAGCCAGAGCTCTTTTTTTTTTCTTTTTCTTTTTTTTTTTTTTTTTAATTGGAATTTAAACTGCTCCTTTGGAGATCGAGTTATGCAAGGAGGAAAGACAACAGCAAAGAGGAAGTGTGTCCTATGCTATCTCTTCTTATGTTGACTACTCTCTCAGACACTTGAAGAAAAAAAAAATTCTTAAGTGTCCTTGAAATATAGGAACTTGCTTCAGGGTTGGGCTGACTTAAGATACTGCCTCGGTTTCAGTTCTGATCTCTGACATTTATGGAACCTTTGTTTTTTTCCTGATTTTTTTTTCTTTCTTTTTTCTCCTGGTCTGATCCTAGACAGTCTTTGTGAAGCTTAAAGTACTCAGACTGGACAGTTCAGCCAACAGGATGGTGACAGGTTTGCTTTCACAAATCTGTTTCGTTCCTACAATCTCAGAATGAAGCTTGCCTCTCTCTGTTTTGTTAGCAAACTAAAAAATACAAAAAAAATTGTTTTCTTCATTTGCTAACCAAAGCTTTTTCTGCTAACTTGTTCTATTCAATTAATTAATCTGGAGGTCATCTTGTTAATTAGGCAAGATTGCAAGGCCTGAGTAATATTATACAAATCTTGGCACACAAGTGATAAAAACAGATGGATACTCTTAGAATGCAGTTTTGCATGACTATTCCACATAATCTGCCTCAGTTCATCTAACTGCTTATTTCTGTCCATGTCTTTAGGCCATCTCAGTAACACCTAGCTATTTTCATCTCACTCACACTTCTCTGATTTTTGTGCTGCAACAGCCTGTGCTTCTGTTTGCAGTGTTGTCCATTCTTGGAAAACATACTCTTCAATCTTCTTAGTACATTGTAGGCTTAAAATGTGCTCCTGAATGCTAGTTTTCCTCCTATCAAATGAGGAGAAAATATTTATGATTATTACTTATTTAAATTATTAATATTTTTATTTGTGAACAGGAAGACTACATATTTAAAAGATTGATCTGCAAAGCACGTGACTTTGTTGCTTTTAGTTCTTGAAGAACCCGATCTTCTTCACTAGGCAAATAATAATCGGAAGACTAGATATGTCATTTTTATAAAAATGGCAGAGTAGCCCCGAACACCAAAAATGTCTTAAACAAAATGTTTATTTAAAAAAAAAAAAAAATTCAAGATGCGGGGAAAGACAAGACCAACATTTTGAAGATTCCTGCCCAGGAGACTTAGGTTTTACCCACTGCTGTATCGCCTGATCATCTTTCTTCACTGAAAATAAAAATGGTACATTGTTTTCGATCCTTAGTGTTTGTCTGTATTACTGCCCTATTTTCCCCCAGAAGGCTAGGACAAAAGCAAGGAAATGTTGCTCATATTTGAGAAAGAAACATCTTATTTAAAGGAATGGCTTATACTCAGATGGCAAGAGAAATGATGTTGTTATCACAGATAAAGATCTTTATCATCTTCAGTCTAATAACTTGGAAGAATAAAGCTCCACGTCATCACTCTAAATGCTCAAAAATGCAGAATAATAAAGTAAATTACTTTCTTCTCCGTGCTTTAAATTTTACATCTGAACATATGCTCTGTATTTATTTTGAAGCTAATTGTTTATGTACATTTTAATTGTTGTAAAGCTGTTAATCCGTAAGTTAAATTGTGTTTTGCCTAAGGTAACCATGTCTTAACAAATATGAATACTCCATCAGTGATTTAGACATTTGGTAATGCTGTTATCATATTTGCAGGATTACTTTGTAACCTACGCAGGTCAGCAATGAGGTGACAGGTTGCATCCTCCTAAATATAGCTGTTGGGTCTTACTCTCTCCTGGCCAGAAGGAAATTTCCTTGGGCCTTCTCTTTTCACGCTGCTAAATCAGCCTTATGGATGTGACTAATTCAGTGACTAATATTCAGCCTTGATAAAAGGAGATCCATCATCTTTTACATGTGTTATGAAAATGACAGTTTCTTTGAAAATAGAGCCAAGAAATATGGAATATCTCTGCTTTAATTTGGCTCTTATAGAAATACTAACCTTGGATTAAAGCATTGCAAATGGGTAGTGATGGAACCCATTTCAGTGAAGATATTTCAGGCTAAGTTTCCTTTATTCCCCTCTTTTTTATGAGAAAGTATATGTTGAGATAAATGGTCTCTTGATTTCTTGCAACGCATTAGTGTTAGTACTTAACAGAAACTTGTTTTATATGTGTTTAGTGTTTGTTCTGTAAGTACTACTCTGTATTCAGGTTTGCTCTTACAGTTTTGATACTGCTCATTTTAGAAATTTAAACAAGTAAAAAAACAGAAGTTAATGGAGTAGGTCACTTCCAGCCAGTGGTATTATCAGCTTGTGGAGTTATAAGTTACAGGTTATGCAAACCTGTATAGCAGTTGTGCGGACAGCTATGTATGTGCCACAAAGAATTTAACCTTCCCCATCCATATAGTCATAAAATGGGTATATATCCATTATCTATATAGCTCTCATAATTTTGCTTTAGCTGATTATAGAAAAGTAAAGAGGATATAGCTGCATGATTGTAAGAGAGAACAAACACAGAATGATGCTTAGTCCCCTTTTAATAGAGAAAGCTCAGAAATAGAGGTCAGGGTGTGTGGAGACAGACTTTCAAAATTAAGTATTGAAACTTATGCTCATCATTATGGAATACGTATTCAAAGCCGAATGAAAAGACACTCTGCGAAGTTCTGTGAGAAAGTAATACAAGTTTCTTTCAGGCTGGACCGTTGACTAAAGTGACCATTTGTAAGGACAAAGAAGGAAAACCTAAGTCTTTTGGATTTGTCTGCTTTAAGCACACCGAATCAGTGCCTTACGCAATAGCTTTGCTGAATGGAATCCGTTTGTATGGAAGACCAATTAAAGTGCAATATCGGCTCGGTAGGTTTAGTAGCTTCAGTAGTTACGTTTGCCTAAGTAGTAGCTAAAATTAAATTCTAGTTATTTGAAAAAAAAAAGGTATCGTAGAGTTTTTGCATCCTAAATTCTTTTAGAAAGATAATTATTTATAGTACACTTTAGTAGTATACATAGTATACATTACAGTTTGTTCTTTTTTAAGAAATGGTAACATTTCATGGCTTTTGCATAGAGAAAGATTCAAATTTTGTGTTTTCTTTATTTAGAAAGAAGCCATAGGTTGGCTTAGAACAGCCTAATTTATAAGACAGCGCAGGAAACGCCCTATGGAAAGCATTTACAACTTTGGCATGGCAGTTTTTCATGCCAGGTTACACTTAGGCTGACGATAGGCTTTATACTAAGGCCATAGCAGAGCTTTTAAGCAGGTGGGACTGTAGGGAGAAGAATACAATCAAATTCATATGCTTCATTTTATGTTTATAGAAATAAACTTGCTGTAAAACTAATTATCAAAGCAGTGTTTGCTGCCCAAATATTTAGCACTGATGTTCACAGTGCACACTGGACTACTCATTCCTTAGCAGCTGTGTAGAATAGCTCCTGTTTTCACTTAAAATGGCTGAGATTCCTAAAATCAGAAGCATGTGCCTGCAAATGGGAGGAAATTATTCGGTTTTTATTATTTCAACACCCCTGATTTATGCTTCTGTAAATAGTTTTGAAAAAAAATGATAAATGAACATTTTCATGCATTGAGATGATGTTATAGACTTCTGTCTGCCATAATATGGCACCTTGCCTTTACAGCTACTTTAATACGCTAGCCCACTACTCATGACAGCAGTTTCTGTGTTTTTGACTGGGTAATCAAACAGTCATAACTGAGTAGTTATTATGCTTTCATCTTATTTATAGGGAGTTCACACTCTTCAGAATTAAACAACCCTGCACATGGTTTTGACAACGCTGTTGACACATGTTCATCTTCATATAGGTAACAAATATCACTTGTGAGTTTAACTGCATGATTGCTTTTTAATTGCATTAAAAAGTCAATTGATGTGTTAGAATAAGGTATTGTGTTACAAAGAGCAGCACTATGCTTCAAAAATACCATGTATAAAGTGAGAAAAAAAATCCTTTCTGATATTGTTTATAGGAAAAGAACAAGGTCCTAACACAGGAAAAATCAGAATATAACAAGATACCCAGGGTTCTCTTCAAATGGTTTAAGAGGAAATATTTTTAACGTAACATATTTTAGCATGTTCATATTGCACTCCTTTTTGTCCAAAACACACACATTTAACACAGACACTAATGTGCCTCCATTCTAAGGCGCATTAATTGATTTCTGTTGTCATAATGGATTCTTAATGATTGTACTATATTGTCACAAAAGGTTCTCTTTGATTTTAATGTGTTGTATTTTAAATTTGCAATATGGAATCAATCTGCAGATCCTTCATAAAAACAGCCATAAGGACCCTTTGACTGCATCCAGGGGTTCAAGCAGCATCGGCTTTTCAGTCTTCATTTGTTTTTGCAAGATACAGAAACACGAAAGAATATTGAAGTATAGTGTTTGTACTAGAAATGTTTTGATTGATAGTTCTTAGGGATTAAAATCTGATGATGGAATTGAGCTTTAAAAATACCTGTAATAGTTTATATTCATAATGGTGTGTATTTGCACAAGCAGCTGTCACACATATAAAGGCACAGGCACAAACTACCAAAGGAATTACAAACACCCTAGTTTCAGTATTTTGCAATGCTGCAAATTCAGTATTTTTGTTCACAAGTGTGACTGAACCCTACACAGAAGCTAAACTCCAACAGTCAAATTGGAAACTCTTTTGAGTTTGTGACCTCAAGTGGATGTGAATATTATACACAGACTGAGTCTTAGGATGTATTTTATTTGTTTTACTGTGCTTTTTTTTCACAGAAATTCAGTTGTTAGTATCTTGATCCTCCTCACGGACGTACTTGTTATATCCCAATAGTTAGATATCAGTGCTACAGTAAGCAGTATTTGGTGAAAGTCTATCCTTTGTTTATTTGTTTGTTTTACCTAGGTATCAAGAGCCTTATGGAAATCCTCCATTTCCTATTCCTCTTTTTCCAGTGAACAATAATTTACCTCAAGAATACTCAGTCTTTCAAAAAATGGTGAGTTTGTACTAAAAGTTATAAAGGGGGGAAGGTGGTGGTGCATGGTAGTGCCATCTAATCCCAATGGTGCCTGGCTTACCCCTTTACTTGGGGCGGGCAGGCACTTACTTGGTACTTAGTTCCAAGTACTCACTTTGGGGTCTGCACATAGGACATACTGTACTAATCAGTAGAAAGTCTTGCTGTCAGAAGAACACTTGGCGTCAGTATTTTTAGATAGACGCTGTAATACATGGAAATTTAAACTCTTCAAAACCTTCTCTGAACACTGTTAACTTTTTTTTTACTTCTCTTAGATGAACCATTTTTTAGGACAGCAGTACACAGTACACAGTCCAGTTGGTCAACAATTTCCTTTCAATCAGATGATTTCACCACTGTCTTCAAATTTATTCATGCCTTCCTGTCAGAATCAAGTTGCAAATTTTAAGCCCGGACAGAATTCTTTCAAGTGGACCCTGCCACACTCAAGTGATTCCAAAGGGTACCAGAATGATGAAAGCACCCTCAAAAGAAAGAGAGAACAGCTAAGTTGTGACAGTGACAGTTGTATTGAGAATGAAAAAAAGAAACAAAGAGAATGTGATCAAAATTACAAGTGCAAAGCCAAGAAGAAAAGCCATTAATACTGTGAAATGGATTCGTTCTTTCTGTGTCTTAATTGCATTTGATTTATTTTTTGTGAGGAGGGGAGGAGGAAAGGAGAAATTGTCTCTCATCCTTGTGCTTTGTTAAGAAAAGTAATTTTCAATATTTATAATATTATATTTGAAATGTGCAATACATTAAGTATCCTGACCCTGTAGTACTGTTTAAGGTATAGAAAAAAAATTAAGAAGATGAAGTTTTTGTAATAAAGGGAAAAAAGTATTTATTTTTATTTTTCCCCAAAAAATTCCCCATGGAGAATTTTTATTTCACTATTACAGAAATTTAATGGAAATGCATAATTTCAGCCATTCATGAAGCGCAGGTATCACTTCTGTCGCCAGTGCATGAATCTTGAATGTATTATTGTGAACGGTGTAATTGTCTGAAGGTGTTGATAAAGTCAAAGCAATGAGCAGGACGGAGATTCTGAATGTCACATCAAGGTTTTGTGTTTGGCGCTAAAGCATGAATGGCTATACATTCCCTTCCACCAAATATAAGAGTCTTTACCGATTTAGCCGTGGTGTTATTTATAGTTAGGATCCATAAATATTGTATGTTCACTAGAGCTGATTTTTTTTCCACTAGTAGTTTTAGAGTAAAATAAGGTCACTTTCACGAATTACACGACTTACACATATATCAATACTCAAATGTGTATACTTTAGAACTTCCATAGGTACTGATAAGAACTACATGAATATATGCATCTTTCTGTAAATTTATTTTCTAGTGCTTGTTTGGGAATAGCAGAAATATTAAGGTTGGAAAAGATCATCTAATCCAACCCCCCTAGAGCACGTGACACAGGATCACTTCCAGGCAGGTGCTGAATATCTCCAGAGAAGGAGACTCCAGAAGGTCTCTGGGCAGCCTGTTCAGTGCTCTGTCACCCTCCAGGTTAAGAAGTTTTCCCTCATGTTCAAATGGAAGTTCCTGTGCTTCAGTTTGTGGCTTGCCTTTTGTCCTAGACAAGGAGGAACACTGAGTATTATTTGTAACAAATGGATGAAAAATGTAACGGAGTAACTCCTTTAGAGTTTTAGTTGGTAGCATAAGGGCATGAGTTAGGTGAATTACTGCTGCCTCTTAAGAAGAAAAGTCTTCTACCTGTTCAGCAGAGGAAAAAAAAATAAACTTACATGGTGGTGAATCAAGATAGTGAAATGATCTATTCTATATCTTTCATAACATCTAATTCTTCACAGTTACCATCAACACCTGCAGACAGATACAGATGTAATACAAGATCAAATATGATGAAATACTTGTATGATACTATTATACGAGAAAGTGGAACACTTAATTTTCCACTATTTATTACTGCATAAAGTTAGGCCTACCATTTAGATTCCAGAGTGGCTCTCACAGAAAAAATGAGTTCAACCATCTCCAGAAGGAGCGTACAAAGTCTTTAAGAAACTCCATCTGCCTGACTCGTTTTCCCTTTTCCCTGTGCCCTTCCACACAAATGACTGCACCTTTTGTCTTTTTTTGTATCTTTTTATGCTTGCAATTTGCTTGGTGCTTGTATCCCACTAGTAACTTTAGCACTATATTATGTAGATATTATCCAACTTCCGATGAAATATATGACTAATATTATACCAGTCAGTTGCGGATTACAGAAGCTGCCAGGATGATAGATAAAGTTAACAAGTGAAATACACGCAATTTCTTTAAACTTGTGTCACATATTAAAGAAATATAAATATAGCCAAGTAGAGGAAGAATATGTTAACATTATCTTGATTTTGTCTTCACCAGACAAAAGAGAAACCAGATGGACACCCAAACCAGAATTACCTTAGATAAAGAGAAACTTAAGCCCATGATAGTATGTCCTTAACACACTTCCCCACCTGATACGTTCAATAACCTGCTGTGCGCACTTTTATGCTAAAAAATGAATGTCACGTGATCATATGTGTGTACATGATAAAGTAGCAATCCTATTGTAGAGATGATTTTTCTTTGCCACTTTCTTCCTAGTCCTTTTTCTTTTGTTCCCTGTGGGAAGTGTGGGTTTGTAGCACCTCTCAGTACTGGCTGCAATACCCCTCAGTGTGTTAAGAGCACAATTAGGGATGGTGTGAGTGTGACAACAGGGGCGTGTGGGACAACGCCGAACGTACTCTTGTTTACACGCGATCCGAAAATACCCACTAGTGACCACACTGCGGTGCTCCGCTTCAGACAGAAAACCGATATATACTTTTATATGTATTTGTACAGGTTTGTATGGGCTTGGCTATGGCTTTAACGGCCGTTAACAGTCCCCGCGAGCGGCCCTCGCGGGGCCCCGGGGGCGCCGCGGGGATGGATTTCGTTATATTACATTGCACGCTGCCTCGCTGTGAGGGATCAGGTGTTATTTCACTGCATGGTCAGGGTTACTGGGATGCTCGCGCCTGTCAAGGACTGGGAGAGGTGGAGAGGAGCTGGTGGGATGAGGTTTGATAGGGCTGGATGTGGCAGGGCCTGCTGGCACCTGGAGTGTCACTGTCAACAAATCCAGACCAGTGTGGGTTCCTGTCTAAATAAATATGGTCATAGCATCCCATAAATTGCTTGCTATAAGTGTGCTCAGGCTGTCAAGGACCCATATAGCTGCTACAGGAAAACAAAATTTTCCATCAGAAAGCTGTCAGACAGTGAGGGAGTGCCTACTTTCAATTGGATTTCCCGAAGATTTTTTTTTTTTTTTTTTGTCAAAATGTGCTTAAGAAGAAATGTTATGTGTTGTAGGTATGTCCTGGGATACATACTTTGAATTTATAGGCAGGAGAGAATATTTTTAAGACCAGAGTTTTGTTCAATGCATCTCCCTTTTCTTCTTGCCCACGCCACCCCCTTTTTGTTTTCTAAGGAAGTTCACACTTTTCTAATGGCAGAAATGGGAGCAAGCCTTGACCAAAGCCACTAGATGGCCATGCCCACACTTCTATTGTTTTCCATTGGTAAAAGTTAATAGTTAAAAAGACTATAACTGTGTATGGATTTAACACTTAGTAATGTACAATGACAGACACATAAAACTGATATCAAAGGTTAAGTTTCTCCATGAAATCCACAGCAAGGTGTGCTTTTTGGTACAGAGACAACCTTGTGTGTGTGTGTGTATGTGTATGTATTTAATTTATTTCTGAAAATATACAGGGTCTGAGCGCACCAATACCATATTTTTTGACAGGTGGGTTTTTATGCCACCTACAGCACAGGTCTGTAAGTGTCTTTCTTAAACACTTAGGTTAGAAATGATTTCAGGGTGATACTGAGTTTCTGAGCCACAGAAATTCCTCCTTGGGTGTGCTGAGGTGTTGGGCGTGGATACAAATTCCCCAGCAAGTGTGGGAGAGTTCATATTTGTTTTCCTCTCTTACACTTATCTCCACTGACAATGTATGAATTGGCAATGACACAGTCTTCATATTCATCTACCCTTTATATGTACTTTACACATTAGTAGTCCTTCGTATCTTAAATTACCAAGGGAGTTTGCTGTTCTCCCAATAGCTAGGTTCTCCAGTAAGTAATGAGAGAAAAAAAAATTACTGTCAGGCTTTTAAGGAAGGTTTGCTTATATTGTGTATAATTTACTGTTTGTGTTATCGTACTCTAAAGTATGTGCACACAGTGTAAAGTCAAGCTAAGGTGGTGGTTTATATTCTCTTAGAGAGAGAGACATAGGCTCTTTTATTAAGTCTGGTACCTGCTGTAGGTTCCTCTTGTGCTTCATACCTTGTGTTAGAGAGAAAGAGCCTGTTGATAGAGCAGGTAATGAGAAGAGTTACATGAGCACAGGCATTGTGTTGGACTGGATACCAGCAAGGAAGGAGGAGGAAAGGACAGAATAGGGCAGGAGGAGGAGACAGTCTGGTGGGGCCAGTGTGAAGAAAAGGATGGTGAATACTGCTGTGAAAAAACATTCTGGTAATTCTGCAGTTTAAAATGCTGAGTAAAATTGTAACTAAAATAAATATATGTAACAATATATATATTTTTTATTTTTATTTCCACTAATAACTCATTATTATAGCTCAGAATTAAATAGCTCCCAAGAACTATATTTCTTGTAAAAGACTTTTTCTAAGTCTTTCTAGTAGCATTGATATTTTTCATTTGTTTTTAACAGAAACACAGCCCTGAAGAAGATGTTTTTGTCTTTAGTAAACTAACGTATTCCTGGTTTAGCAGGTGAGAATTTAATAAACTGTTTGCTAACGTTCACTGGTGTTCACTGAATTACAGAGCACACACCTACATTCCATACCTTCCTTCAGACTTGATCTAGAGTCTGAGCCTGCGATTGCTGTTTACTTCCTGTAGCCAAATTAGGCTATCCTTTTTATTTATTATCTATGTTTATAAGTAAGATTATTGCCCCCATATAGAGCCGTAGGTGTTATACAGCAATTTTCTAGATCTGCAGCAACAAATATTCATTAGGGAATCTAAGGTATTTTCCAAGTAGCTGATTTAATGCTCGATCTCCTCCCTTTATGACAGGCCGTATATTCTTGTTACTGTGGATAACCTGTTCGCAAGCACTGCTAAAGTCCTTCTGCTTCTTGGGAATTTTTTCCACCCAAAGATAGGAACTGAAGGTTCGGCTGCATCAAGTTAGGCAGCTTCCCTCACTAATGAGTGTTTCAAAACACAATGGTGTTTCAAACAACTTCATTTTTTTTTGTCTCCTGACCATTACTCATTCTTGCTGCTTTTCAATCAGACACATATACTGAACAATTCAAAAATCCAAAAATGAGGGGAAAAAAAAAGTGCTTAGAGTATTAGAACTACTTCTTACTTCTTGTAGTAGTTCTTCAATTCAGGTATTCAATATAATTAATTTTAGTGAAAAACTGAAAATATTATTTACTATTTACTATTAGTAAATTGAGGCAAAACAGTAGGATTATTCAAGCATTCGGTGTTTCTGCTAAAACTGTGGCCCTACTGATGTTCAAGTTCTCTGTCAGTTTCAAGGAAGATATGATTTTACTAGTTTCATACATTGATGGAGCATAAATATAATTTTTCAGTTTTTCTGCAGAGATTTGGCAGTATGCTGAGTGCAGCACTTTTATATTGCACTTATTTGTTTATTTTCTTTATTTTACAGTGTTCATCTAAAATGTCAAATGTACGCTCTTTCCAGTCACAAGCAAATAAAGATAATGAATTGTTAAATATATACTTTCCTTAACTGCTTGCGCTCTAAATGAAGATGTCTCAATTATTATATAATAACCTATATCCTCTTTCCTTAGCCTTGAGGCGATTTGAGGCAGCAGTGGGTTTTTGGAATTGAGCTGAACAGAAATCAAAAGAAATACAGTATTTTCCTACAAAGAAATGTGGACAGACTCCCAGGTGCAAGGTTTCCTCAGAATTTGCTGTTCAGGGTCTTCTTATTTCAAGTGAATTTCAGTATGCTGAGTATACCTAGGTACCCCTATTTAATCTGCAGCCTTTTATAGAATTACATAGATAAGGTTGAGTATAGAGTTCATTTGTATACTATACATGATATCATTAACTTTTTGAGTTAGAATTTCTGCTTTTGTGTGTTGTATTTTATTCTGTCTGAATTAATTGCGTTCTTTTAGGCTAATATCAATAGGCTATAAGAAGCCATTAGAGAGAGATGACCTGTTTGAACTGAATGAAAGTGACTCGCCATACAGTGTGTGTCCTAAGTTTGAAAAGCAATGGAGGAAGGAAATGAAAAAATCAACCACTGGATTAAAGGTAGTGATAATTCTGACAACAGGCATAATTCTTTCCTAAATTTAAGGAGTCTAGATTTTGGAGAAGATTTCTCAAAACTAGTTGTTTATTCAACAGCCCACATTTTATGAGTTATAAAAGCCAATCAGTATTGTAATCATTCTGTTGTGGCTGTATTTTTATTTAAATTGTTTAGATTAAATTATTTCTTAATTGATTAAATTAAACATTGTTTTGGGAGCATCTGGGAGCACAGGTTGCATATGAACACAAAGCATATTAGAATAGTAAGTTTAAGACTTTATTGGGAAAACAAGATTCAACCAAAAACTGTAATAAGATTTTTTTTTTTGCTTGAGTTTTCCTGTCTGATTTCTAAGTAAATCCTTGAAATTTCAGTTACAGTTATTTATTTTTTATTTGTTGTGTTTATTTGTTAAAGTGCACTGTGAGCTCCATAATGTTAGGAAGGTCATGGCAAAGAGGGCTTAACTAACCTGTAAAAGATTGTAGTTCAAGAAGAGTTCAAGAGACTCTTGTAGAGTTTGGCTTTCAGCATTTCTTTAGTAACTCCGCTTTATTTCTTACATAAAAGCTTTTATTCCATTTCCAGTGTGGGAAATTAAGTTTTTTTGGATTGCAAGGGCAATGTTTGTTATAGATGGACACTAATCAATTTTTATTTCTGTGTATAGGGAGAGAGAACATAATTTCTTCTCTTATTTCTGTACATATTTTTGTAATTTCACAGGCATCTTGCATGAAAAGAATGCTGTTTAGGAAAACAAGTTCCTCTAAACCATCTTTGGTTTCCCCACTGTGGCAAACATTTAAATTTTTGATGATTAAAGTTGCCTTTCTGAAAGCTACAGCCGATATTCTGGCTTTCATGGGTCCGCAGATAATGAAGTAAGTTTTTTATGATGTGCTTTACTATATTTTCAAAGAGTAACAGAAAAATAATGGTAAAAGATTGACAATGCCAAAGCCAAGCTTAAGAATTTTGCCAAGATAGTTTTACAATAGTCATCTCTATGTGATTCATCTTCATTACTGAAGGAAAGCTCAAAGAATAAGAACTTTCTTAGCCAAAGGACTGAGGCAAAAGCAGTAGGAGTTCCACTTCACGGTATTATACTTAAGTATTTAATATACTTAAATGTGAAACAAAATATAAAAACAAATGCAATGCAAAGATATTTAACTTCCCTGCTTTTTTGTGAGTTCTTTTCATCTCTGTTTTTCAACAAAGCCCTTAAATATACAATAATATCTGTAGCTTCATCAGTTAATGGAAAGCCTCAGTGACTGTGTTGTTATATTGCTGGTACCATGCATGGGATGGAATTGATTTTTATAAATCATTGTTGCCAAGGAGGTGTTAAGCATTTCTCAAATACAAATGTGTTTACAATAGCTAATAAACATAATTACTGTTAACCACCATACTATACCAGTTATCAGAGTAATCTTATACTGTGCTTGGTTACAAAACTGTTAACAATAAAATCTCTAGGAATACCCCTAAAGATCCCCCCACACACACTTTAGGAAGAGAATTTTTAGCTATTTAAGAAAATCTATTACTAGCACAAAAGTAAGAATTTTCTTCCAGATTCTTTATTGCCCTCTTACCTCTTTCTCTCCCCGGTATAGTAGGTAGATGTGGCATCTCTAACTAGAAATATCTCTCTCTATATATGTATGTTTTAACAAGATTTTAACATTTATTTTGTTTCATTTCCAGAGCACTGATAGCACTGAGTGAAAGTCACCCTGGTTCACACAGGAGGGGTTATGGCTATGCTATTGCCCTTTTTTTTGTCGTTCTATCTCAAACTCTCATCCATCAGTTATACCAGCGTCACAACATGCTTACTGCAATCAAAATCAAGACTGCAGTTGTTGGCCTGATATACAAAAAGGTAATTATGTATTCTCCTCCTTTCCCTTCAAATCAGCCAACAAAATAAACCCTCAACTTTAAAAAAGCACTAGATTTATCAGCATGTTCAAAAAACCAAGATGTTTTAGACTGCTGATTACTGGCTAACAGATTGACCTTGTTTGGATGATTTGGAATAATTTGGAATTTCAGCAGTGCTTCTGTTCTAATTCTGCAGTCAGATACTTTGGTCAGGTATCTGTACAGAAAGAATACTAGGAATACATGAAGAAACTGGAATCTTCCTATTGTGACTAGGCCTGACTTCCCCAAATTTATTCAATGAGCTTGGAAAACTTTATAGGCTGGATAAAAGGAATCATGCAGATGAGCAGATGGTCACTGTCTTTCTGTATAATAGTAATGAATAGAAGATGGTAAAATTGGCCAAATTTTCCCCTGTGGAGAATGAAAAATTTCTCCCCTATTTTAGTGAAACAGATTTTCAGTTAGTTTAGATATTCGGTAAGTTAGATTCTTTTTTTCTCGCTTTATTAAGTGCTGCAGAACTGTACATTTACTGCATGGGATGCAGGCACTAATAGCGCAGTAATAAAAGTAATTGTGTTTGAGCTGCAATACATTTAGACATTTACTATGGTGTTAATATATACTATATGAGGTGAAGCTAGTTCCTTTGTGCTGCACCTTTAGTGTGCTTTGTTAGGAATGAGGCAAGGATGGTACAGCTCTCTTGTGTGTTTTCTGAAGTAGTACATGAGATTGCACTTCTCAGTTATGATGCATGAGGAAGAGGAATTCCTTCTTCCAAGTTCCATTGCAAAGTGTGTTGGGAAGGGAGGGAACAGGGCAGTAGTACAAGGCTCCTGTTGGGGTGACTACAGTTTGTTCCTCACCCTGAACAGTCAGTCAGTGACCAGCAGATCAGGCTGTATTTGCCATTTGGGATGAAGAAGTGTGATGCTGCAGCTCTGCCCAAGTGGCTGCAGGAGTCGCAGTTGGCACAGTGGAAAAATGCCAGGCACCGACTGGGAGGGAAGAGAAAGAGATGAATTCTGTGTGTGTGCGTGTGTATGTCTGACTGTGTCTACTCCATACGCTGGGCCTTTCAGTGCCTGCCTGCTGCGCCGTGCAGCTCTTCGAGCACTTTCTGGGAAACCTGCCATTCCCCTTGTGCACTGGTTGCTTCCAGGCTAGCCCAGAGCTGAGGCTTTCAGGGCTTTGCTTGCACCATGGGGGCCTGTGTATCAAGAATTGTAAGTCTGGTTCAGTGAGTTCAGCTTTACTATTTGTTGTCCTTTTTTAGTTCCTCCTGAGCACCTAAAGACAGCAGTTCCTGAAACCCATCAAAATTGCTGCATTCTGTGACTTCTGCCCTGTATCATTTCTGGTCGCAGGCCTTAACTTTAGCGAGTTCCTCACGTCGCAGCTATACAACTGGGGAAATCGTTAACCTGATGTCTGCGGATGCTCAGCAGCTCATGGAGCTGGCTGTGAACCTCAACCTCCTGTGGTCAGCACCTTTTCAGATCCTCGTGGCTGTCATCTTTCTCTGGCAAGAACTTGGCCCCTCTGTCCTAGCGGGTGTTGCAGTGCTGCTTCTAGTCATACCTATAAATGCGCTCATTGCAGCCAAAGTAAAAAGTCTGAAGGTGAGACCTGTAAATAGGCAAAGCAAGGGGAGGTTACATTGTCATGGTATAGGAAGGATTTTTTTGTTTGTTTATTTTATTTCACATATATGAGAATCATTGTGGCACATCTTAATTAAAAACAATAAGCAACTCTAAGCCAAGGCTGTTTTTCATTGAAGAGGGAAGCATAACTGCAGTAAAAAATACTTAAGCGAAACTTGTACTGAGATTGGATACCTACATTCTCATTATACTAAAAGAATATTTCTGTAGAAAAAATTATCATATGACTCAGTCTAGAAAATAATTACGTTTGAATATGTTACAACAGTAATTCTATCAAATACAGGATTTGGGAGGCCTCTTTCACCTCTATTATCCAGGCTAAACAGCTCACTGAAAGTTACCACATTCTCTGGAGCTTAGGCAATTTCCTCAGAAGTGGGGAGCTACATGTGCTCTGTCCTTTCTGCTTCTTTCATGCAACAGTTCTTAGACCTGCATTGTCCACATTCATCATTGACAATTATTCTGCCTTTGGTAGCACTACATGCAGTGAAGACTCTGGATATTTAGAGCTTCTTTTATAAAGCTGTGATGGTTCAGATATATGGCACCAAAAGCCCGCAGCTCTTTTGCAGGTGCAAAAGTTAGATCTGTGCTGTGAAGAGCAGAAAGATAGAGGAGATTTACTAAGTATAATAAAATCTATCCAAAATACAACATTTGTTGTATTATTTGAATAGGATCCAAAACTTAAAAGAGGCTGTTTATTACTATTTTGAAATTGAAAAGCAGAAGAACCTGAGTATAGCAGAGGAGTGTGAATAATTTTTTTTCTTTCAGTAACAATGTAGTATTGGTAGCAGAGAGAACTTTCTTCCTATCTTCCTGAATATGTGCATATATCTATCTATAGTTTTATCCTTGTACGGTGTTTCAAATACATAATGGAAGCCTGTTAAGAAAGGAAAGGACAAAGAAAGGACAAAGAGCTGATACCCTTAAGATATTTTGGCAGAAAATGATTATTACAGCATATTTAATAATTCTTTATCCTATAAAATGAATTATATGAATACAAGCTTATCTGAAAATTATGTAACTGCAGTGGAAGTGTGGTTGTTGTTGTTGGGTCTTTTTCCCTTCCCTTCCCGACCAAATAACATAAAAGATATTTATTGTATTACTGTCTTTTACCAGAAACGCCAAATGAGGTATTCAGATCAACGAGTCAAGCTACTCAGTGAAATGTTACATGGAATAAAGGTAAAATAAATGATACAGCTAATGATTTGTTTGTTTGTTTCTCTGTTACCTTGTGAAGATAGAATGTATGTTATTTATCAAACTAAGGTTTTGTGAATATTCTTTAGCAGAAATTAGGGGGAAAAAGAAAATGTTTTAATATATTATATTTATATATATTTATATGGAGAGTTTATTTTTAAAAAAAGGTTTAATCTCATTTACAAAGCTTATTAAACCTAATATGCTAGTTTTGCAACCATCTTATTTTTAACAGGAATATAAAATGTGTTAATAGATGGCTGAAAACCATCACAGTGGAATGTTCATGCAGAGGGGAAATACATCAAAATTGACTAGTTTTATTTGTTACTTCTGCTTCTATTTTGAAATAGACCCCTCTCATCATTTATGATCTGTAAGGGCATGTTGAAATGCATAGAAGACTACAGCATACTTTCCATAAGAACAATCCAGTTTTGAGTTATCTTAAGTCTTGATTTGATTTATAAAACATCAGATTTTTTTCAGTTTGGGATTGGAGAATATTTGTCAATGAAATTTGGTGCTTAAATTTGTTTTCTGATGCATGATCAATGTTTCTTTGCTTTATTTAAGTATCTTTCTTGTTTGATTTCTCCAGATTCTCAAACTTTATGCATGGGAACCTTCATATCAAAGAAAGGTCATGAGCATTAGAGAACATGAAGTAGATGTTTTGAAGTCATCTGGGTATCTGGCGACTTACTCCATGCTAACATTGACGTGTATTCCTTTTATGGTCTGTTTTATGAAAACATTCATCCATGCAGGACTGATAGTTTACCTATTGCTTCAGAAGTGAATGCTTTACAAACATTACCTCACGATGTATCAAATATATTAGGTTTATCGACACAATATATCTGAATTCATAGGTTCCAATAGTAATATATGGCTGGAGAGGAAAGATAATAGAGTGATTATCAATGGATCCGACTGGTTAGAGAGCTCTGCTAGAAAGTCATGAAGTAAATCCAGGTCTTCTGAATGTCGTTCCAGTAATACTGATTTTAATCTGACTTTTCCTATTGCATGGACAATCAAGTGTCTTCTTTATACTCCTCCTTTTTGAAATTTTAAGAGAACGTCCTTTCCATTTGTAGTTTTGGCATCACCTTTCTATGTACTAAAACTCTAATATAAGAAATAGAATAAGAAAAAGTATGAGCCAAATTCATCCAAATCTGTTTCAGTGAAATTGTATCAGAGAGGCAATCCAAATTTGGAGAATGGAATTAAATCACTCTATTAAATTCCATCAGAAAGTAAATGGATCAAATTGGAACCGTGCTTCGGGATGAATGACCACCATTAACTTCAGTCACACAAACTGGCGCCTTGTTTGTGCTTAACTTGAAGCATACGGGAGGTGGAGAGCAATAGTCATTAGGAAGAGTGAGAGGGAGGATCATGCTTCTTAAGTCTCTTTGAAACAGTGAATGAGAGCAACTCACAGAGAGTAAACTGAGTGCAGTGAGACAACCAGCTCCTAAACTCAACAGAGATGCCACAGGACGGGAATTAACTTCAGTCTTTTCTGGGTGATTCTGCAGGCTTGAGTAAGGGTTGTGCAGGAGCCCAACTCGCTCTGAGGTGCACAGAAAGGAAGCCTAGGGGGTTCAGCCACTGTGTGTGCCCACAGGGCTGGCCAGGGGTGCCACTCCAAGACAATCTGAATGATCTGGATTATTGAACTTGACTGCAGAGCATTCAAGTGAAAAACAGAGGACTCTTTTGGTGTATTATATATTTAATTCACATCAAGAATAATTTGGTCATAAATACATCAGGCAACTTTGGAACACTGGGAAAAGAAAGGAAGTATTATCTTAATCTATTTTGCCAAGTAAGTTGAAGATAGTGATTTGCAGATATTTTGGAAGAAAAAATCAGGTAGTCACAAATTTAAAAAACTGTAGTAAATAGCTTTACTTTATGGACATTGTCACTGCAATGTTTAACAAGATAAAGAGAGAAAGAGAAAAAATGAATTGGCTGTTTCAATGATTCAATTGTCCTGTTTCAATGTTTTCCAAAAAAAAACAAACAACAAAAAAAAAACAACAACAAAAAAAAACTATTCCTGAGATGGGAAAGCTATTTATGTGGTTTCATGTATATGTAGCTGGGTAAAAAACTGGCCACGTATTTTGCTTACTAAAATTAAAGTATTAGTGTACTCTAATGGGACCATGCAGTAAACTTCATGTGCAGCAGATACAAAAGGTTCCTGTTTATAAGTGAACAGAAGTAGGATTTCATAACTCTCAAGTGCAAAGAAAAGTAACAGCTAGATATAAATTTTAGTTATAATGTGATTTTGCTTGCAGATAAATCTCTTATATTTTTTGAACTAACAAGGTCTCACTGGCTACATTTGGAGTCTTCTTTTATGTGGATGAAGAGAATATTTTAACGGCATCCAAAGTTTTTACATCTATTTCTTTATTTAACATCCTGCGACTGCCATTGTTTGATTTACCGTCTGTCATCTCTGCTGTAGCTCAGGTAAACAAGTTATGAATTGTGAATGCTGAGTAAAAGGCTCAAATTTGCCCTGATCTTGATCTTCTGTGTAATGTTTCATCTATTTTCAGGAATGATGAAGTCAATTATTTTAAGTTATACTTTATTGAGATGATATTGCACAGTCTCTTCATGCAACATGAAGCATGAAGGCTGTTTATGTCCCAGGACCTTTTAAGCAGAATGGCCCTTCATTATCATGCCTGGCCTTGACTGGGAGCCTGGTCTGATTTCATTTATGGTCTACATGCTGCAAGGCCAAAAACTTTTCTTAAGATTTAGTTCTAATAGCTTAAAACTTAGTGCAAGTATATGTTCATTGAATTTCATATCACAGGAATGGACATGTCATCATAAATTCAGAGTGAAATCTCTCAACTTCATTTATTAAAAATAGCATGCACAGTTTCTTTTAAAAAATCAAATGTGTTTGTTACCATTTTTTTGAAAACAGTCTCATTATGTCATTAAGAAGAATCAGCTATTCAAAGATGTGCTATTTATTTTAATATTAGATATGTCAAGCATTCTCTGTTATTCTACGACTACCAAACAGAAGATCCTCTGGAGAACCTGAACACCTTTGTTATTAAATAACACAATCTGTTTTTTCATATTATTTTAAATTTTTAAAATATTATTTAAAATTGCAAATAGTATAAACATGTTGCAAGGGCTATATAGATTTGTTCATCTTCCAGACCAAAGTTTCTCTGAGGCGTTTAGAGGATTTTCTGTATGCCAAGGATCTTAATCCTGAAGATGTCAACACAAACTACAGTGGAAGTAAGCCGTAGTTGTTTATTTTTCATTGCTTATTAGTTCATACAGATTATGATTAAGAAACTGAACTGAGGGAAGGCATTTGCAAGTCACTGCTCTTTTTTCTTTATGTCAACAGATCATGCTGTTGGATTTATTGGTGCTTCTTTCCACTGGGATAAAAGTGGTCCACCAGTCTTAAAAAAGTAAGATATTCTTAGTTATTTTTATGAGCTTCCTTACAGAAGTTGAAGCCTATGGAGATGCTGTTTGGAGTCGTTCATAACGGTATATATCAATAAGAACATATGGTATTCTTTCCAGAGTAGTCCATGTGATCAGGATGTCTGTCCAAGAGAAAGCAGAGAGGAAGAAAAAAAAAAAAAAAAAAAGGGAAAAAAAAACCCCACAACTTCATTGCTTCTTTCCTTTCCCCTACCTTCCCAATTTGCACAAGGGAGATTTAAGAACTGTAATATATACATATTTTTTTTTCCTGAATTGCTTCCTATGGTGCTCTCTCTGTTGCTGTACTAACTGAGCCCACTGAAAAAAAGGAAAAAAAAAAAACCCCACAACTTCACTGCTTCTTTCCTTTCCCCTACCTTCCCCATTTGCAGAAGGGAGATTTAAGAACTGTAATATATACATTTTTTTTTTCCTGAATTGCTTCCTATGGTGCTCTCTCTGTTGCTGTACTAACTGAGCCCACTGAAAACATTTTAAGTTGCCTACAAGTACACTGCTGGAATTCATGTAGCCTTAATGTTAATCTTCTATTTAGATTGTGGCATCCTTTAGAAAGAAGAAAGAAGCAAAAAAAATGCTTATCTCATAATGGTATCTCATGCTTGAAAAACGATCTTTGTTGTGCTTTTTGTCCTTTCCTAAATAGGTATTTTCTTAGGTGTGAAATGCTCCATGCTTATACTACTAAATGTGGAACACATTGGGGGGTTATTAGGGGAATGAACGGGAGGGACCAAGCTCCAGAGCGGCAGGAAGAACCTATTTTGATAAGTTTCCTTAAGTAACAGTTGGAGAGGTTACAGCCCACCCAACCCACATCCCTCAGCACATGGTCTGCCCCGGTCCTTCAGGGCGTAGGGTATTCCTTCCCATAACGTGGCACTGGGTTCCGGAGTCTCGGCCACCATAGCCTGTATGAACCGCCTTCAGCACCGCATACAGACCTCATTGAAGTGTGGTATAGTCTCTCTGTAGTTTTCTTTCTTCACCTTATTCATGCTCCAGACTCCAGTCTGAAGGAACTGTGTCCATCTTGACATAGAGACTTCAAATCAGAATATGCGTCAATCCACACAGATAAAGCAAGTGGCTCTGCCTGTGTGCTAATGTTTATGAGTACAAGCTGTTCCCTGAATAGGTTCATATTGAAAACACAGCTAATTTTGACAGTAGTCTATGGAGGAGGAAGTCAGACTTATTTACTCAACAGTTATTTTTTTCCTCATTTTTTTCCTTTCCCTTTATTTCTTCCTTAATGGCTACAGTAGATGCTGTTAACAGTTAACATTATAAGACGTCTAGCAGTCAATTAACAGAGGAAGACGGAAATAAATCACATGTCTGAGAAGAATAGTATTGCTTACTGGTCAAACTGTCTTCCATTTCATTCTGTTTGACCAAATGAAAACATAAATTCATAACTTTCAAACAAATAAAAGTATTCTTAAGGCTACTGCAAGTGTCTAAAAGTGCTATTTTTTGATTGCTGTTAGAGTAAAATAGAATTTTCTTTCTTAAATTAATCACAGCCCGTACCTTATGCAGTATCTACAGAGAGGGTAACTCATTTGTCTTCCTCAATGTTTCCAGCCTGAATGTCAGCATTCCGGAAGGCTCTTTAGTTGCTGTTGTGGGACAGGTTGGGTCTGGAAAGTCATCTTTTCTCTCTGCTGTTCTTGGAGAAATGGAGAAACTGGAAGGAACAGTTCAGAGACGAGTAAGGTTGTCTCGTTTTGTTTTGTTTTTCCATCATAACAAAATAAAGTGAAATCTAGTTTTGGAAGTGCATTTATATTGCTCAACTATTTATGATAGTAGAAAGAAACATTAGAGCAATCTAGGCTTCAGTGTTCAGCTTCTTAATCTTGAATTTGCGAAGAAAACAAATAGCATGGTGTCATTTGGTAGTGGTGCTAAGTGATTGCATAGTTATTCTTATTTTGTTAGAATCTAATTCAGTGCAAAAATCCTAAGTCATATATTGAGCCTAAATACTCAATGTTTGCTGGTTTTGAACAACTGTACAAACTTGGCCCACTTGGAACAGCAGTAAACCTATGTAAAAAATGATTATCTTTCTCAATGGCTTACAAGTACAGAAAATGCAAGATATATAAATAGAGGGGAAAGGCTGAGCTTTAGGCAGTTGGAATTAAGATACTGGCTGTCTTAGCGACTGGAAATGCTGTAGATTAACTCTTCCTGTTGTTACATGGAACAATGAAAGTGTCACAAAAACAAATTAGATTTGATTATTTTTTAATAGATTAAAAAAAAACTCTATTTACAAACTGCAGTGAAAATAATCAAATTACAGTACTCAAGGGGATAAATATCAATTTATAACAATAATATAAATTAATGCAGCAACATTAAAAAGTGACAGCATTGAAAATATGTTTAGAATAGGAATCTTCATTTTTGTGCAAATCTAGTACACTGTTCTGTTCCTGATAGAGTTGGAGGAGAGGGGACGACATCAAAGTGTTCCAGACCTGAGAACAGGAATTAATGGCAGAAAGATGAACTATATAGAACCTAGTAAGGAAGACTGATGCCCAACATGTTTATCTACATTATTGATTTGTAATAAAATTAATACCCTTTCAAAGGGTATATAGCTTAATATAAGAAAGGAAAGATGACCAGTTACTTAAGATAAAGCTGGAATAGCAAATATTTTAAAATGGTATATCTTTTTCATGTGTAGACTGATAAGTAAGAATTTGTTTCCACTTCTCTTTTTTTAGGGGTCAGTGGCTTATGTTTCTCAGCAGGCCTGGATTCAAAATGCCACTTTGCAAGAAAATATTCTCTTTGGCTTAAATCTAAACAGACCATACTATGAGCAGGTTTTAGAGTCTTGTGCTTTACTCCCAGATTTGGAACAGTTACCAAGTGGAGATCAAACAGAGATTGGAGAAAGGGTGAGAATTTGAAGTGTCATAAATGATACAATAAACTAACCTATGTGCTCTTATTTTTTTATATCTGATCCGTATGATAATTGACACTGATGACTTATCAGGGCTCAACCAGCTGCTTAGCTGTCTTTAAACTTAATGAGTTAATGCATTCAAGCTCTGAACTTCTATTACTTTTTACATGGCTCTTAAAAAAAAAAAAAAGACTGTTTTTCTGAGTCAGCCCTGTCCTCTTCTCCAAGGTTCCTTTGTTTACTGTATCTGTAAATAATATTTACTTTATAAAGTAACTTGCATTAGTTCATTTTGGAATGGTAAGTTAATCAAAGGGCAAACATCACTCTTACTACTTGAAAATCCAACTTTTTACCTTTCTTTTTTCATATCTATTCTAAAATTTTCTTTGGTTACCTGAACAAACTGGTGAAGGGATTGTGTGATACGCTGGTTGCCTTTTGAATTTAAATGTGACTTTTTTTAGGGTGTCAATATAAGTGGAGGGCAGAAACAGAGAGTGAGCCTGGCCAGAGCTGTATACAGCAATGCTGACTTGTATCTTCTGGATGATCCCCTCTCTGCTGTAGATGTACATGTGGGGAAGCACCTTTTTGATAAGCTAATTGGGCCATCAGGTCTCCTGAAAAGCAAGGTAAGGTAGGAAGACTTCAATTTGGGGGTGAACTCCTTTGTATGGTAGAACAGCTACAATGAAAGATTTGGTCCTGCTGCAAAGGCTTTACTCTTGTTATACAGATCCATTATATAGATGCCAATATGCTGAGTAAAGAGACTGAATAAGAAGCATTGCTGATTGTGCCAACTTTGAGTTCCTTGAGGGAGACATAGCAGAGACCCCAAAAAATATATCGAGTGCTGGGGTGACCTGGAAAACTGACAGAGTCATATAATATTTGGATTTTGCTGTTTACTAGTAGATGTTAAGGACTGCCGTGATTTGTGGTCACTCTCAGTGCCTCAGTACAGTAAGTAGATTACACAAAGAGTGGTTTTTTTATTGAACAGAGAAGTTCTTGAGGGAAAATGGAATAAGAGAGAATCTATTTTCCCAGATAAAAGTGTAGGAAGGTAAGATAGATACCTGAGAAAAAAAAATCTCTCGGTGTTATAAATTCACGCAGGTTACTACTGCCGGCTTATGACTGGAAAACACATGCGTTATTTCTGTTATAAATTCACGCAGGTTACTACTGCTGGCTTATGACTGGAAAAAATAGATAAATACTTGCCCTCTCATCTTTCTCCTTTTTCTTAATGTATTTGCTCTGCAGGTGATATCTGCTTCATGGCAGAAATAACAGCAGTAATGGTAGATTGCCAAGCAGAATTAATGATGAGACTATCAAACTAGATGTGATGCATTAGACTGCAATGGGGAGAGTTAGATTCTATAGCTCCTAATTTAAACTATTTCTGGACAAAAGATGCTCATTAAGGAGGAAATAAATAGAAGCAACATCAAGGAGTTCTAAGAGTAAATGATTTGAAATTAGGATCGGCAATTAAAGGAGAAATGTAGTAAAAATAATAACTGTAATAGCCAAGTAGGCAAAATCGTAAAACAATCTGTCATTCAAGCTATCCTATTAAAATGTCAACTTCTAATATATGCTTTGTTTTTATATGGAAAAATGGGCAACATTCTGTGTTTCAGACTCGTGTATTGGTGACACACAACTTAACCCTTTTGCCTCAAGCTGATCTTATAATAGTAATGGAAGAAGGCAGGATAAGTCAAATGGGGACTTACCAAGAATTGATTTCAAAGAGAGGTAACTTTGCTGAGCTTACTCAAGCTTTTGCTACAGAGAATAGAAGTGAAGAGACAACCTTAGGGAAAGGTGAGAGAATTTATTCACTATGTTTTCATTGCAGTTTTCCTTTTCATTCAAACTTCCAAAAAATTTCCTTCTCCCCTTCCTTGAATAGAATAATTTCTAGATAATGCAGAGCAGTTTTTCTGAAGGAGTGAAGATAGGATGTTGACCTGAAAGGAAGCATGTGTTATGTCTGAAGGGAGTAAAGAGAGGAAAGGGGGACAAAGGAAGTGAGGAGAAACAGCATGGGGTGTGTTCTGATATAAAAGTAGGCAAAAGTATGTTCAGCATGCTGAATGTATGTAGAAAATATATATTTGTCTTTAATGTCATCTAAGTTAACAAATCTTTAATCTACCCTATTCCTGGAAGAAAAAATGTTGGTTCCTTTTTGTTTATAACACATAAGGAATAGCAAGGTCGTGTGCTAAGTTTCCCAGCTATGACACAATAATATTTTGAAATATGTGGTAATGTTAATATTTATAGAGTATTATAATACTTTTACTAAGGAAGAACAGAGTTCCAGAGAGATTCTGGGCTGCTTTGCTAGCACAGTTATTTCTATTCCAGTGAAGATAAATGTGGAATTCCTTTGAAATGACTTTTGCAATATCTTTAAGAAACTTTAATTCTGACTCACTCCTTTTGTATGTTCATACCTATATTGTTTCAAAGTAATTTAAAAGTTATGCTTACTAACTTCTTCCACATCATGAAATTTACTTGCTGTCAAAGTTCTAGCGTCTGGGCCTTCTCCATCTTGTGTAGTACCTATCCCAAGACTAGGGAACTGGCTTAATAGAATTAATAAATTAATGTATACCCATTCATCATGTTGGCCCTTTCTATTTCTAGCTTCCCGTACTGTATTCTATGTTTTTTCTCCTCTAGTGAGTTCCAAAAAAGAAGAATGTCAACTAGGAAAGAATCTGGCACAAAAAGAACTTTTGAAACATAAAGAGTAAGTATTAAATTTGGCTATTACCTAACTGAGGTAATGCTAGAGTGACCCTAAGCATCTATACCAAAGAGTGCACAGTTATCCGCCATTCTGTAAGTATGGTTTAAATCTGAATGCACATTAGCAGTTAGATGCAGCATGTGCATATGGAGCTCATTTTCAGGCTTAATTTTATACGAAAGGAGCCTAGTTAATGTCCTTGAACTCCCCCTGAGTTCAGAGGCTCCAGTTCATGGGCTTCTTCGCACATTGGTGGGGATGAAAGGGAGTTTTACTTCAAAAGATCAGCTGAAGTCAGTGATGTTGAGCGCTACATTCAGCAGCTTAACTTCTTGCTGCATTAACAAGTAGTTTACGCTCTGTGTTTTTCTCTGTGTCATTGATTTATCGTTTAAGACAGCCTCCGATCTGACAAATAGTTGGAAAACAATTTAGATCAATTAGATCAATTTTGTAAATCTCTAACGGTGTATCTGCAGTGGGGATCTCTAAAGTAGTAGAGACCTCAGAAGCTCAGACAGTGCAAGACATCTAAAGTTTGATCTGGAAGTAGTAGAATTGCGTGTGTCATATACTAAACCCAATTTCTGGGCCCAGACCAGGTATGAGAGATGAAAAAGAATGCTTAGTATTGCCTTTTGACAATAGAGTTATTATAAAAGCATAAATCAAACGGCTGACTTACTTAGAAAAAAATCACAAGATTTTATAGAATGCAGTTCTACTTAGGAATGAATGGATATATTCTTTGTATAATGATTCACAAGAAGATCTAAGAGTGTATTTGGCATTCTTGCTTGCAGTCCTTCATTTGGTCAATGGAGAACAGACTCAAAGAGTAAAGAAAAGGTCGCCACAGGAGGCGTAAGTATCTCTAACAGAAAAGGCTTTGGCATTTTTTTTTCTGTGTAGAAGAAAATGTTATTTTGCAGTCATACTTGCCTGATTCTTGTTAAGGTTTCCAGATATCTAATTACAGATTTTTAAATCAGTCTTTATATTTTTTCAAGGTTTTAGGTGTTTAATGTGAAATTCCTTATTTTGATAGTATGCTGTAGGCTGAATTTTTATATTAAATCTATGTTCAGTCTGATTCAATATCTCAGAAAGACCAAGCTTAAGAAATCTTTTACCTGCTTTAGAGGAAAACAAACAAACAAACAAACCCCAAAACATTCTGTCTGCCTCACCTCTAGGAAGTTTTAAAACCTGTGTCCTGGAGCAGAGACATGAAATTTTACGTGATGGTACTGCTGCAGCATTGTTTTATATTCAAAATAAACTTTCTGCTGTCTCCATAAAAAGATCTGCCAGTTGATAGAAAGATGCAAAAGAACAGGTAAACCGGAATGTGGAGAGGGCCAAAACTTTACAGGATGCTATAGCTAAATTAGAATTAGGAGCAGGAAGAAAACAGCAATTAGTTTCCAGCAAGAGGATAGGGACGGACACTTGAAGAAACTGAGTTAGCTGAAGGGAGACTGAAGAGTCTGTGCCAGCTAGCGTTTTCTCACAGACCTTGTAGTGAAGTCCAAGAATTCTGGTGCTATCAATTCTTACCTTTCATCTTGTTTAGCTGAGTTTCTCCCCGTTAGTTTGCGACTACACCAAATATGAGAATTTTCCTGCTGTCACGAATTCCCTTGGCTCCGGTAGCCCAGAACAGCCGTTCTAAATTTCCTAGCTATTAATGAATAGAATAAAATTTGCTTCAAACAAACTGCTCGCTCTATTTTTTTTGATGTACATATAGTTTACATATATAGATTCAGATTTATTCTTATTCATGAGGCATGTAATGTATGCAATTCCTATTGTGTAATCTATACTTGCCATCAGCAATGGTAACGATTTTTAAAGAGTAACACTTTGTGTTCTTTTTTATACATTTTAGATGAAAATGGCAGTTGTTTTGAAATACCTACAAGCCTTTGACTGGCGATGGGTGTGGCTAACCATAGCTGCTTATTTAGGTCAGAATGCACTAGCTATTGGGCAAAATCTGTGGCTTAGCACCTGGACTTCAGAAACAGCGAAAGTGAATGATTTCACAGAATGGAAGCAGTTGCGAAATTATAAACTTGGTATCTATAGTCTTTTGGGCTTCATACAAGGTAAGGATGAGTATCTATGACTAATTTCTCTTCATTTGGATATTTGTTCCCAAAGAAATAATGCTGGTTGTTTCAAAAACAGAATTATATATTGCAAAGTATAGTTGTTTAACCTGGCAGAGGGTCAGAAGGGACACTCGGCAATGTAGAAAAAATATGCCATATAGTTTTTATGAGCCTTCTTTGAACATCCACAACTAATCTAATGAAGTTGCTATCTCAGTTGGGGGGGACATCACTGTTGGTATATAGTAGCATGTTAGCTTGAGGGACATAGAAAAGCAGGAAAGACATGCTTATAAAACTAGTAAGATGTGCCACCAAAATACAAATATGAGCAGTTGTAAAACAAGAGTTTGTAAAGCAAAGGTATGAAGTAAAACTACTGGACTGGTCACTATGGTGGAAGACAGGGACAGAAATGAGCTCCTTCTCCTTCCCATCCCCAGTGAATCATACAGTCTTTTTATTTATTTGTTCACAAGGTCTTCTTGTTTGCTGTGGTGCACATGTGCTCATCAGGGGATCGCTTGCTGCTTCTCGGGCACTGCATCACCAGATGCTGGACAGCGTTTTGCACCTTCCTCTTCAGCATTTTGAAACTAATCCTGTAGGTCAGATCATCAATAGATTCACAAAGGTACAGAGAAAACTGTTGCATATATTTGATTTTCAAGTGACTGCAGTTTTAGTTCCACTTAGTGTTATTTAAAATTAAAAACAACAAAGTAGCCCAATGCAGTGTTGAGAAATGGAAAGTTACTTCAGTGCATAAAACGTTATAGAACTGTCTCAAACTATTTTTTTACAAAAATTGTCAAAACATTATTGTAAGTTGAAGTTACTTTAGACTCTATGATCATTAGAATCCCATTCCTCAAAAAACATTTATTCAGTATGACCAGACCTGATCTGTGTTTTTCTTTTCCCTTTTTTCTTTTTTTAATTTATATATATTCCTCATTGGTGTTTTATTGTATATCATAATTAAATATTATTTCAAAAAATACTTAATATAACAAAGCCAAGTTCTTAGGTGTATATAGACTTACAGTGAATAACATTTTCTATTTTGTAGTGTTTTGACTTTAATTGGAATCCTTAACACACGAGCAGATGTTACGAACGAACTTAATACTTTCCATTATCCTCATAAGTAGATTGTTACACTGCATTACAGACCATTTCAAGTACTATATATTGGCCTGTAGGGTTGATACGAATATTCTGTGAAATAGATTCTGGAGTTATTGTGTTATTCACTGGAAGAGTAGCTGATTGAGGCTTGGCTTCCGAGTCAAGTCTATTCTTTGGTTGCAATATATTATCAACTGGGATTGAGAAACCTTTATGCTGTACAATAAGGAATTAATAATATTTTAGTACATTGCTGAATCATTAACAGAAACTCAAAGAAGAGATAAGCACTAACCTCCCAGTCTGCTTTTCAATCAAGTAAGCTTTCTGTAAACTAAACAAGTTTATTTTTGTCTTCGCCAGCTCTGAGTCAATTCTTAGGCATATTATTTCATTTGAAGATATTGTATCTATTCCAGTATTAGGCAGTAACAAGGGCCTATTAACATCTATTAAGGTCTATTATTAAGATGTCATTTTTTCTCAAGTAATTGTTATTGAAGATTTGTTATTGAAGTTTGATTCAATTTTTAAATGATACTACTTTGAAGTCTTCAGTGAAATTAACTCACAAAAGTAATTTTTTTGTGCATTGTTACAGGACTTATTTGTAGTGGACATACGTTTTCATTACTACCTACGAACTTGGTTAAACTGTACACTGGATGTTATTGGAACCATTCTAGTTATCACATCTGCCTCTCCGCTATTTGTAGTAGTAGTTATTCCTCTGGGGTACTTCTATTTTACTATCCAAGTAAGTTCATTAAGCTTTTATAAAAATTTCTAGATGGATGTGCATGAAATATGCAAAATGATCAAGGGTGCAAGTATAAATTATTCCTTAAACTGAAAAACATACAGAACACACCTGAACTTTTTTTTTTTTTCTTCCTGGAAAAGTGTCCTGGCTTCCTAAAAAGAAATTAGAACACTTCTTAACTTGAACGTTGTATATTGTTCTCTTTGTATTTTCTTTTTCTTTGAACAATACAGCATTCATACAGCTGCTACCAAAAATGTTGATCAAGCTATCTCACAAAAGTGGGGCATAAAATGAAAAGTGACCCTGAAACAGCATATGTAAAAACATTTAAATAAAACGATGGCTAACATACTTGTGCTATTTATTTTTTGGAATGTCAGCTAAAAAGAGTGTTTGAGAAAGACTGATGCCTGCATACCTGTTGCTTGACACTCCAGATCTGTGATTAAGGGAATCTGAAATAAAATAAGATTATAGATGCAAGATGCAAGTGTATTCAGTTTTACTTAAGGAGTTTAAATACAGCCATCATTACATAAAGAAATAAAAAGCTAAGCTTTCCTTAGCTTTCATGTAAGGAAAAAAACAGCATTCTGATTTAAAAGCTCACAAAATTTTATTTGGTGGTTACACACCTCCAGTGGTATGGTATATTGTTTACAGTTGGAAATAATTTGCTCTTATTTCAGCTTTGTTGAATTACTGAATTTAGCTAGATCACCATATTGCACTTATGTCAGCATTGCAATGTTACTATTCCCAAACAGACTTTTTTCCTGTGATGTGCATAAATAACTTTTCTATCTTGTAGATATTCCGACTTAGATGTTTCCAAGTTTTTCATATTCAAAATTCATGCGAATAACTTGGATATTTTCAAAAATGGAGAAAATATGGCAAATGTTTAAAACAACATAAAAGAAACTTTAGAATTTTAAAACCTGCTTCTCTTTTCCGTGTTATTTTATTAGCGCTACTACATAGCAAGTTCACGACAGATTCGACGACTAGCTGGAGCATCACATTCTCCTGTGATCTCCCACTTCAGTGAGACTCTCTTAGGGGGATCAACAATTCGAGCATTTGGCCACCAGGAAAGATTCATTAGAAAAAATAATGATGTGGTGTATGAGAACTTGGTTTACTTTTACAATAACGTCATCTCAAACAGGTACTTTTCAGCAGTTCTGCAACTCTGACGGCCCCCTTTCTGTACACTTCCATAACTAAGCATTTATTTCACCCAGAGTAAAGCCCCTGAGAAACAGAAGAAAGGACAAGTGCAGTTTCTACATTGCTCTTTGTAATGAACACATAGATTATATTTAAGCATTAGGATGAATTCTTTATGTACCGGAAACTATCACATTTATGGAAAATGTGAATGCACTGTCTACAGGATGAGAAGTGTCTCAAAAAGATAAACGTTTACAGACAGTTCCTAGACAAGACCTGTATTACATTTCAACTAGATGTTCCTCTTAGAAATTTATGACAAATCTAATTTATATTTCAGTAGTTCATGTAGAAGTAACTTGGTGTCTCTGCCTACAACATAGATATATCTTGTGAATTAACTCCCAAGTCTGAGGAAATAAATGCATTTCCCCTTCGTCTTTTATCATGCAGTATGTTGAATCTCATGCAGTTACAGGCAGAGGTTTGTGAAGGGGGGATTTTCCATTCTGATTTTCATTCATATACCTGATTTTTTTTTAAGGTAGGAAGAGTAGGAGGGCAGTGTGACTAATGAAGGGCAGACTGGCCAGGATTTGAAAGATCTGCATTTTTTTTTCTAGCTCACCTAGTAGTTCACAAATTACTTGAAATCTGTCATATTCCCCTCCCCTAACCCTCAGTAACATGGGAAAGGTTTTTTCTCATTTTATGAAATAGATTGAGAGACCAATGTCACAGGGTCTTTATATTCACTACTTTTTCACTATATTGTGAAAAAAAAAAATCGGTAGGTAATTCACTTTTTTCCCCTACTTTGCTTTACTACAGGTGGCTATCTGTCAGGCTTGAATTTTTAGGCAGTTTAATGGTGTTCTTTGCCGCAATGTTTGTTGTGCTGGCTGGAAATGCAGTGAATTCTTCTACAGTGGGTTTATCCATATCATATGCTCTAAATGTAAGTAATGGTACAGTTTTGGTGTTCTCGCTGTGAAACACATGAAAAGGGAAGAATACAATTGAATAGATGAATAAAAACATCAGCGAAATTGAATCCTGTGGGCAGAACAGAATTTTTCTTTGAATACCATTAGTCTCAGGAAGCTTAATTCTTTTATCCATTTCTTTTGAGTATTTATTTAGTTTTTATTTAATGAGTATTTATTAAAACAAAGGTTAATCAAACCCGTGTGGTTTACTTTTAAGTATTTTATTAAATCGGAAACAGGAAAGAAATTTGCTCGTGTTCAAATGTCATTCATATTTGATTCTTGCTAACTTATCTAATGCTGTGTGGGAAAGCTTACATAAAAAAATTACTAGAAACATTTATATATGAGAGCCAGATTTGGAAGGTATCTTGTAATACAGTAATATTTACTGGTGAAAAGGTATTTAAAGCATAGCTTGAATATACACAAAAAGTAAGTGATTAAGCATCTGACCCTATGAATTGAATAAATTCAAGGTATGCTTTGAAATTTACTATTTTTTTTTAATATTCTACAATGCATTTTTTTCCCTCAGATAATTCAGAGTCTTAATTTTTGGGTGCGAAAAGCATGTGAGATTGAGACCAATGCAGTTTCAATTGAAAGAGTCTGTGAATATGCAAACATGGATAAAGAGGTAAGCATTCTTTTTGAGAAGATAAATATTCAATTTGCATGCATAGAAAATGTTTAATGTGTATTGAATTTAATATTAGAGAGTAGTAATAAGTTATAATTTGCTATTACATATTTTCTCAAAGTTTTTACATGAGAATAATATGTAGCTTCTTCACTATATTTATTGTACTTGCAGTTTTATTTCTGTTTTGAGAAATTTCTTGGCATCCTTCTCAGCCTCTCTACAGAAGTGTTTGTTGGCTAGACACAGCTCACATGAACTTTCTTGGATTTGTGCAAGGAAGAGGAACATTTTAAGGCAGGAAGACAGGGAAGAGAGGCCTGCCAGCCCCCTCATGGCTGAAGAGACGTTTCTTGCAATTTTCCTTGGTTATTGTCCTTTTATCAGAGTAGTGTTTCTATTAAGTACAGAGACCAAGAGCATTGGTTTGTGTCTAACATTTTTTTCCTCTATTTCTTTGTTCTCGTTTTTCCTCCCCCGGTTTTTCCTATTTCTTTGCTTCTGTTTGCATCTTTCTGTTCTCTCCTTCTCTCCTGTTTTGGGGAGAAAAAAGGTTTCTTGTAAATTATGCATTGTAAACTTCTGGGAGATTAGGCAACTGCTGACCTTCAGTTCTAGGCTGTGAATTGACAGAATGGATACCAGGCTATTAGCAACTACCCTGTTAAACTTTTTAACTGAATATGTATGATGATGGTTTCTGAGGGAGGAAGAAAAAAGTTTGAATGTTGTTGATATCCAGTGTCTGGTAAAATAATTGAAGTCTTCCTCCCTTTAATTGCATTTGGAATTATTCTAAGTCTGCTTGGACTTTCAGAGTTTCATATAATTTGCCTAATATATTTAGTTAATTTGTAATATTTTTGCTGTCATATACTGAAACATCCATGATTTTAATTCCAGGAACCCTGGATTATGTCAAAAAGGCCACCCATGGGATGGCCCGACAGAGGCATTATAGAATTTATTAACTACAAGGCTCAGTATAGACAAGATCTTGGTTTAGCCCTGAATAATGTCTCTTTCCAAACACGGAGTAAAGAAAAGGTATTGTATATAATAAGAAATAAATCAGGCATAAAAACTTCTGTTTCTGAACTTTATACTTAAAAAAAAAAAAAAAAAGGTGAGAGACTCTAATAGTATGTACAGCAAGATTATGCTGAACAGGGAAAATTTTAAATGGAGATGTTAAAGAAAGACAAATGGAAAGTGGAAAAATATTTTCCTCTACTCACAGTAAGAAACTGGGATAATATTTTATTTCCCCTGCAACGCTGACTGTGAAGAGCCTCTATGAATTAGATATAAATGTTTATATAACTTTCAATTAGTTGAAAAAAAAAATGCCTAGGGGAAAGGTGTTACCAAAAAAAGCCTTTTTGTAACTTTCACTACATAAAAACCAAGGCAAGCCAAGGTTGAAAAATTCTTAATTGGTATAAACATAAGCTCTCTAATTTGCTATATTAGAATTGGTCAAACCCTACATTTGATATTGCAGGAGAGCAGACGCCTGTGCACTCCTTTACAGTTAGCCCTGCTGATGTAGAATTGTAATCACAGAAGCCACCAGTTGGGTCAGTTGCTGTCCCCATACCATACCCATACCGACTTGTCTGCTCGACCTTGTCAGGCTCTAATATCTTTGCCAGTGTTACTCTAAGTGTAGTTGTGTTCCTGACCTTCTCTGCACTAAGAGAAGTTTTTTTGATAATTCATTGCCAGTTTATACCTTTTGGTCTTGCAGTAAAAGTTCCACCCATTTATACTGACTCCATGGTTAAATTTATAGTAACTGTCTTGGAATTCCAGTTAGAACTTGAGACTGATTGTCCAGTCCTGTAGAAGATCAAGTACCTCAAGTGCTGAGCTCATGCAGCCAAGTCATTTTTAAGAACAAAATGGAAAAACATCTGCTGTTTGCTTATGCCAACGTGTTGCATGTTTTAAGAGGAGGCTAATGGCTGCAGTAACACAACCTCATGGGCGAGTGAGGCTCCTCATGAGAATGGCAGCTCAGCAGTGTTAGAGACTGGCAGCTTCAGAACGTTACATGAAGGGAAACGTGAACTGCTCCCGCTCCATGCTGCTTTAGTGCCTGTGTGAAGAGGTGACCTTTAAATCTTATGATGCTTGTGAAGAGGCTTTCCTCTCAGAGGAGTGGATAGACACATTCCCAATTAGATTTTCCAGCTGAATTTGGCAGTTTTAAGGAGGATTCACATTTAAAATTCAACTTGTTGTTCACTGTGTTAAATACTTCTTTAGAGAAATATTTTGCCAGAATAGTGCTAATCCACCTTGGGACCAGGGAACACAGCATGAGACCTTGGTGTGAGCTCAAGAGTGTTTGAAAGAAATGGCTTCCCTCTGAACCAGGTATAGGCTGTACAGCTTCTGAAGGAGAACTGGGATTCTGAGCCAATTGCCCAAAAAGTGAGTTTTAAACAAGCCTCTGTACCAAGATTTTTTATATATAGTTTTATCTACCTATAATATTGCATATCAGGAAAAAAAATGTGTTTAACGGAAAGTGGAGACTGAAATTACAAATCATTTTTCATGTATAATGCGTAGTAGGACATTATAGTCTTTATCAGAATGTTTCCTGTTCCAGGTTGGAATTGTTGGAAGAACAGGAGCTGGCAAATCAACACTCACAAATTGCTTATTTAGAGTTCTAGAAGGATCTGGAGGCAAAATAATTATAGATGGAATTGATATATCCACTATTGGGCTCCATGACCTCCGTGGAAATCTTAACATTATTCCCCAGGTGAGATCTGTTTTTAGAGACAGCAATTATAATGTTGACTGACGCAAGACATCACTGAATGTTTTGTGAGAAATTGTAAGTCCAAAGGTTGTCACAAGGAGGGCATAAAACTTAAATAGTATTTTACTGATCTTTGAAAACAGATTCTGCACTAGCCTATCAAGTTTTAGAACTAAATATTTGAGTCTTAGCTTTAAGATTAGATTAAATCTTAAGTACTGGTGGCATAAAGCTATCCTGAAAGAGTTGCATGTTTGTTGGCATTAATGTGAAAGAAGCCTTGAAACAGGTGAGACCACGGGTGTGATATTAGGTCTTATTTGGCCAGATTTAGTTTAAGAGTCTTAGCTGTAATAACGCGTGTGTTTTCCAGATGCTGTAGATTTATAGCTACATGTGATGTTTTTAGTTTTTAACAAGAGCCAAGGATATTTAAAATAACTACACGATTCTCTGAAGAAAAGAGATAATAAAGTGAAAAATAGATTACACGAGTTGTGTACCTATTTAAGTTAATCCGTTATGGTCTGTCATGTTGAGTTGACTCTGCTTACTTCAAAACAGGGTTGAAAACTTAAGATCTGTTCATATATCACTAGGATTGTTGTTATTGTGCTAATCAAACTTACTTATGAAATACCATAATAGAAGGTAAAACCTAAAACATAAATTTAATGGTCACCTAGAGACACCTCACATGTTCTCACAGTTCCACTACGGCAACTGTGCCTGTGTGGTTGATGTTGGTGTAACTTGCATTAAGTTTATATGACTCTTTCCATAGGAGGAATTTCCATAGAACCCTGTTAATCTGTTTCCTGTGTATCTACCATAGACTGTGCAGGGAGAGGAGGCTAGGGGAAGAATTTTTAAACCAAAACGGTTTAGGTGTTTCAGTAAATTAGTTGATTAGGATTTAGTTCTCCCATCAGCTAATGAGCCAAGAATCTGCACAACAGCTCGTGCAGCAGTTGTAAGCTGCTCAGTATTTCTCAGCTGCAGGTTGCGGGTGTGATTTACTGTGTGTGATGTTTACTGAATCCAGATGAAAGCAATTCAACTGCAAGCAGGTACAGAAAAGTTTGAGTTAACTAACAGTGTGTCAGCACAACTTGAAGTGTGGAAAATGGAAAATTTCAGCAGGTAGATGGAGTCCAGAGTGTGAAACTGTGTAACAGGGAGAGTAGAACTGGATGAAGAGGGAAGTCTGAAACAGAAGAAAGGGCAAGGCTGGAAGCCAGAACTTTCAGTGTACACATACTTATTCAAATCCTGTAATATAATCAAATATATCTCATGCAATTTTGAGCATTCGCAATGAAGTATAGATTAGCAAGTTACTTTTATGATGATCTAATGCAAGTAATATGAAGGGTAAATTAAAAGTGTTCACAAGATCCCATCCCATGGTAACTTAGTCATTTTTAGGCCTCTATTATTACTTCTCTTTCTGCACGTAACTTGCTAACAGACAGTATTAGCCTTTTACAGTCTATACATTGGGTTACAATCCACTATTACTGCCCTTTGTGAAGATGTCCATTGCCTCCAAAAATAGCAGTTTTGTTTATAATGTGTACAGGTGTCCATATGTTGCCAAGCACTGATATTTTAAATTTGTCTTTTTAAGAAAAATATTTTGTGTATACAAACAAAGGTGTTCAAACACGACTAAGACTGTAGACGACAAGCTTTCACTAGTTAGGAAATGCTGGAGGTGACCCATATCCTCCTCTGTATACCTGATGGGGGGTTACTAGTCTGTATATCACTTTCCAGATATTCCCTACGTTATTTCATAAACTGAAGCACATGATGCTCATTGAGTACACATCTATACAATAATTGCTGTTGTTTTCATTGCTGAATACATCACCTTTCCCATAGAAAACTAAGAAAATTTAACTCAAAATCATAGCCTTTCAATTTTTCTTAATTGTGGTCGCGAATGTAGTACCTGGTATCGAACTTTATAAACTTGCCAATATGAATATTTTCGTATGTTGTCTCAGTTACCACATGCTGGGCAGATCTCCAGTCTTTTTGACCCCCCCGCTCCAAATAAAATTTTTTTTTTTTTTTTTTTTTTTTTTTGCAAAGCTTCATTTCCAAAGTGATTTTTTTCCTGTCCCAAAAGTTAATAAAAATTTATGGCAGATTTCTCCGGGGTTGTGTTGGAAATGTGTACTCAAGATTTGCTCTTGTTTAGGATCCCATCTTGTTTTC